TACTACTAATACGTTAAACGTTCTAATGATCTCGAGCGACAAAAATGCATCGGGTCAAAAGCCGTCAAAAACCCTTTGGCATTTTGTCGCCACTCGATCATTGGAACCCTTGTAACGCCCTTTGTGTATAAAAAACATTTTTTCAGTAAAAAAAAGTATCATCATGATACAAAATTTTGAGACATCCATAAATTGGACATTCTGCAGAATGAAGCTAGATTGAAAAACAATTAATAAACTGGTTTCGTCGATAAGTGCATACTATTTTATTTTGGAATTATTGAATCAGATAATAAAACTTTCATTGTCTTGATATTTTTTTTGCTCCAAGCAACTTCAATTTCCTGAAATATGTAATTTATTTCATTTTTTACCTCGTTTAATTATGGTTTTCAGTCCGCAGTTTATGCTAATACATTGCATAACTGGAATATCTTCTCCACCGTGAAATTCGAGATTCCAGTTTCTGCTCCAATTTTTGGTGATGATAAATGCATTCTAGTGAAATTATAAACTTATACCCAGAGAGAAAATAACATTTAGGAAGGAAGAAATAAATAATGAAATTTGTCTGCAATAGTGACATTAATCAGGCTTCTTGATGCTTGAATCTTCCCTGTCCTCCAAGCCGGTGAATTGGGTATGTAGAGTCCATGAATGAGAAAGAAGAATGAACACAATATATTACGCTGAATAAAAGAATACATCGCTGAAGAAAGGAGGGCGGAGGGAAAGAGGGCGGTCGGGTGGAGAGGCGAGGACGAGAGCGCGAGCGTCCTCATGACTATGCAGCAGCTGCCGCTCACCCGTGCGCCACAGTGGGCCCAAACGCCACAAAATGGGAGCGCAGCATATTGTGGGTGAATTCTTAGAAGCATTTCAAACGATATTAGAAAACGATTGTGAAAGTATGAATAAAAACGGAAATGTCACGATTTTTCAAATATATTTCGTATCTCACATTCGTTTTATTGTGGTAAGGTGTGAGGTGTTCTATTTCCATTTGAGGGAGTAAAGTGGCATGATTCAGAAGGTCTCATCTTTTTCTGTCTGTCTTCTTTTATAGAGCCTCGTAAAGAATCGATTTTATGCCTAATTTATCATTGAGTTTATAACATCATATAAAGTGTTGTAAATGACATTGGGAAGAAAATGTATCTGGAAATGGGCATTATGTCAACGTCACATGATAATGGTCTGTAGTTTCGTTTGGCAGTCACATCAAACATGGCTGAAAAATGCTATATATTTAGCCTCACATTCTCAAGATAATTTTCGCTTATTATCATTGTAAATAACGCAATTCAGGGGCGTATTGTTATGTGCCTAGCCACCTGTCAATGTGATTCGTATCTTGCGATCTGTTGCAACTTAAAAATTTCCTAAACTGAGAAAAAAGTAAGGGAGCCCCCTCTGTTTGGTGTGTTCGTTTGGGTCTGTCTACCGATAAGGTAACCACCCCCCTTAGTGCAGTATATGGTTTTCTTCTTCGGGAGGTGGCTGTGATCTTTCCCTGCTGGATTGTGAGATCCACAGGCGGCCGCCGCCCCTGCCGGGACAAGCTCTTAAGCTCCCGACTGTTCTCCCGCCATGTGTGGCAGTGTAGTGCATGTACATATGTGTGTAAGTGCTAGGATAAGGTAGGGAATGGGAGGGTTAGATCGCGCGCGATTCGTGGTTCGTTGGTTAAGAGTCGAGTCCGGCAGTCGCCTCGTGCTGATAGGAGAAATGAAGGAGAACTCCCGATCAGAGCAGCCGGCCGCTGCCCTGTATTCGTGCCCACTGCGGGCGGAGGAGGTTTTATGGGGGCTTAAGGAGTCGCGCGCCGTAGAAGCCGTGCCCGGAGGCTTTGTTTTGTTTGGGAAGACTTACATCTGTTTGGTTCGTGAAAAGACACGCGTTCATACGTTGGCCGACAAACAGTCCCCTTTGTCAAATAAAGTCTTTTCATCGTCGTGCAAGCGCGCGCGTCTTTGCCGGGGTTCCGGGAGAAGATGGCGGCGGCACCGAAGACGCTTACAACACGACGTTGCTCACAAAACAAAAGATAAGCTGCCTGTTGTCTTAAGAATGTGGTTGTTTGTTACGCACGATAAAATTTTGAACATTAGCTGAGTCCTACCTGAATTGTTATACATAAAGGGTGAAATGAGCGAGACTTTTTGTAGTCTAAAGGAGAGAAGAAGAAACACAGTAATTTGTAAATTTGACTGAAAAGTGTTTCAAAAATCTGTCGGTGTACCGGTGGAAATTGGAATTTCATGTGGTTTGAAGATGAATTCTAAGGATTATCACATGACGTACTGTTTCCAATTTTGGATGATTTGCAAAATTTGTAATATTGTTGCAGTGATTTTTTTATTGCTATAAAATATAGTACATTTGCTAAGCATCTAAAGGACATATTGATTTGAAACTATGGAAAAGAAATGTTTGAATCTGAAAATTCGCTACAATTCAATTGTCAGAATGAGGTGTACATATTGCAGTGTGTACCATAACTGTTAAGTCGATGAGTATGGACTAATTTGCTTGAGAAGTAGTTAGACGCGTATCATAAAGTCATTTGACTGTGAGGTAAGGCGATCTTGCATGCATAAAGCAGGGGTGGAGCCAGAGACAAATTTTGGGAGGGGAAATCCAAAATGGTTTGGTTGAAGGTGTTATATTACAGACTTTCTAAAACTCCACAGTCTACACTCAGCTCGTGCTGTAATACGATTTTTAATGATTGTCCAAAAATTTTTTTCCATGAATGTTTCGTGACAAGTTAATAGTAAAGTCACTGAAAAATTTTAGGGAGGGACATTTCCCTCAATTCCCTCTCCGTGGCTCCGCGTTAACTGAAGACTCCCAGACCCGGTAATGCTAATGAATCGTGGCGGGTTCAACCATGCCAAGTGTCAACCACCACCCATCTCGCAGGGTGAGTGGTTTGCGGGCCGCCTCCAACCCTCTGCGGCGCGCGAGTGGCACAGTGACACGAATGCGCGGCGGCCGCTGCCTAACGAGCCATAGGCGGCGTCGGGGGCGCCGCGAACGGCGGGCGCCGAGGGGCCCAACGCAGGAGATGGCGGGCGGTGGCGGTCGTCTCAAAACAAAGCCCGTGAGCAAGCAGTTGCGATAACTGCGAGATCGGAACGATGATGCACTAGACTGAAGAGTTGATGAGGCAGACGAGGGGAAGGAAGGTGTCACGATTCATTTCCCGGGTGGCAGTGGGTTGATTACACAGGCACAAAAAATAAGTCAGACCCAAACACTTGAAAATTGAAATTTACAATTAACAATTTTACACCAAAATCTAGTTTTTTGGTGTAAAATCATCTGGAGGGGTGGTATCATTCTGGCTAAAGATTCGGATTCAGGGCGTCCACATACACAGAGAAACATGTATGTAGTCTTCGTGTTTGACAACAACCCCCAAACACAAACAAAAATACAACTTCACTGCGGATTTTCGCGATTTAAAAAGCTGCAGGGTGGTGGCGCAATTCTGGCTTCAGATTAGCATTGAGCGCGGCGACATGCAAAGAGAAACATGGGTCAAGTCTTTGGGTGTGACAACTTATTTTTGTGTGGCTGTTCAATTGGAGGGTAGGTTGGTGCATTCTTGGCTATCCGGGATGAGCCGCGTCTCGGTTAATTATACTGACGTTTCGGCCATCTTGCTGTGGCCATCTTTAGAGCTATACTGCTGATAGCTGCGGGTAGGTTGGTGTATGCGATGCTCAGTACAGTTCGCTCTGTACTCACTACGTGTGGCTACGAGGACGAAGGGTCAGCAGCTGGAGGAGGAGAGCAGTGAGGAGAGTGCCGAGGAAGAACTCGAACGTGCTAAAAGTGGTGGGAAAGGCGGGTTCGCCGGCCTGGGGTTGGTTGCAATAACGCCGAGGTGGGGGCGCCGGCGAAGGCCGCAATGCAGTGGCAGACGAGGGGAGGTGTCACGAGTCATTACGCCGGAGTTCGTGGCAGTGGTTAGACAAGTG